AAAGGCACCGAGAAACAGTTCGGTGTCATTAATCAAATTGTAGGACGTTTAGGGAACAACTCGCACGGTAACAGCAAACATTCTCAGAATGTCAATTCCCATCAAGTAATTAGTGGAAGAGCACTCTTCTCCTCGCGGCCTTGGAACTAGGGTCTAGTTCCGTCTTAGATGATGGACGGAGACAAATTTAGCACTAGTGATGGTGGTGTATGTAAATAATGACGAAGACAGTAATCATAATCATAATAATAATGATGATAATGATAATATTAATAACAATTATGATAATGGTAGATCGATCAATTTCTTTCTATGTTAAAAATATTCATAAATAAAAATGTCCTCAATCTGATTGGCTGAGAGAAATGTAGTTTTTAGGTTACATAATGCAAAAGAGTAAATTCTGCTCAAAAAGTATAACGACAAACTTTCTAACAAGGCTTTGAACTTATTGGAGGCTTAGGATTAAAAAAATTAACGGGACACAAAATTTCAAAAGCGTTGTTTTGATGGAGCGCGGTGGTTTGGACATACGTACAATGAGCATTTATTGCATTAGGTTGAAAATGATATCATGATTTACCAATGCCGAGGTCTGAATCATCAGATATAACTCAGACACGAAGTCTGATAGTTCAAGATATCATGCGATAATCGAGAGGGTTGAAAACTAGGCAGACTTTGAACTCGACATGCTAATCCAAATATTGGGGTATCATCAGGAGCCCATGGGCTCCTGGTTATCATGTCAACCTCAGATAGTATTTTACATTGACTATATGCTCTTGACTAATCAGAGTTTTCATAATAAGTCTAATGTTAAATGATGACATTCGAAGGCGGTTTGAAATAATTATTTTTGCGCGCGATTCGCGCTCTTTTCTTCCGCATAATTATGACATTCGAAAATTTTTTCGTTATTTATATGTTTTAAAAGTAATCACATGTTTCACATGCAATTTGGAACAAATAAGCACTCATTGACGTTTTTGCAGAGACTACAAATTGCATTCGCCCTTCGGGCTCTGCAATTTTGTCGGCCTTTGAAAATGGTTACTCTTGCTTATGTCAGGTAATTGGTCCAAATGGCGCTGGAAATCACGCGATTACCTGCTCTAATCGATTAACTGTCAGCAAAGGAGGACCAAAGAATCTTGATCGCGATCAAAGTACCTACGTTGAAGCAAAGTACAAGGTACGAAGGCTTCCGGAAGTGCAAAGATCAAAAAGAGGTTTTTCAAGGTCACCGCGTCATTGTCTGTATATATGAACCGGTGTCCAACGATACGCTTCCATGGGGAAATACCTTAAGGATTGAAATAATAACAGACCAAGAAACAAACCTCTTCAAAAATCGACAGACTCCAAAAACAAAAGTGAATAACATTGGATTCTCTTTAATTTAACAGAGTTCTTACAGTCGCCAGATCGACTTGTCACGCAACGCGCAAGTATTTTTACCTCTATATTCCATTTTTAACTCCCGAAATCTCAACTGTCATTTCGGGAGCGAAGACTTAGTGTAGAGAAGCAATATGCAATAGTTTAAAAACGTTTTCCTATTATTTCTTCCCTCAGAAATCGAAAAAGGTCAATAGCATTTTTCCGCCTGACCGGAAATTTACATTTGTGACGGATGGAAAAAATTAAGAGTATGATCAATTCTTTCACTTCTTTTGCTTTAAAAGTGTCTTTGCATATGCCAAAAATCCATCACAGGCAGAAATGCTAGGCAAATATGCTGAGAAAATTTGCACACCCGGCTATTTTGCGCTTCATTTAACCACATTTACTGCAAACATCAAATACCGCATCGACTCCCGAGCAGTAAAATGTTGGATTATGAAATTGCTTACCTTTCAAACCGGTTTGCCGATGTGGAAAACTAGACGCATGTGGCACTTTGTGCAATTCAAAGTGGATCGACTGAGAGCGTACCATACAACCTATATTTTTAACATAGAGAACGATCGAATGATCTTTTGATGTTCACGTGATGGTTAGAACTATAATTAGATCGACTTGTAAAAAAGGTAAACCCCCTATAATTTTGCGTGGGTTATTTATAGCATGAGATTTGAAAACTAAACTGCAAATCGAACTACGAATGGCACAGTATTAGCGAATTAACTAGTTTTTCCGCAAATGAGTTGAATCAAAGACAGCTACTGAAACTTTTAACCATAATCTTCGTTCCTCGCTAAGTACTAGTCTTGCTGATCATAATCAAGCCGAGGTAAGGTCGGCTCGTAATGATTAACAGTCATATCAGCTCTCATATCCATCTGCAAAGCTGTTCAAACGATATAAGTTCTCCCCTCTCCACCTTGAAGTTTGTTTACAAATATCCTTCCTAACAACAATCATCAACTGTGCACAAACAACATCAGCTAAGCTGCTGAGCAGTTTCCCTTATTTCAAAGTTTAAAATTATTATATTTTTATCTTCTGAATCGTAACAAACGAATAGTAGTTTCGCTCAGTAGAATAGGTGTTACGTGGATTATGAACTGAATAACTAAATTTTGGCCTGATAAATCTAAATATTTCAATTATGAATAAGATTTACAATTTTGGTACGTCGACTCAGATCAATTTACCAGATTCTTCGCATCTTTTAACTATATATTTGTTAACTATCAATTATACCTCATTCTTGCCACTTAAAGTCACCTAACAACACTGTTGATTCATGCATATGGTATTGTGATTTGCAAGTTCAAGGCTATAAGAAAATTCTCGAACGTAGATGGTTATCACCAGCCCGATTTGAGCACGAATTGGACTCTTATCACAACTGTTACTATTAGTTATTGGTAGCTGGATCCGCACGGCAAGATTATGAGTTTGGTTTAAAGTCTGCCACCTTGTCGCGCTTATGGTTCATAGTTTACCAATTTTACTTCACGCTCGATTAACAGCCGCTTTTTCGGGAAAGGAGCCCTTTTCGGGTGGATCGAAGACAATTCAGTATCGAAGAAAACGGCAGAAATCGAACCTATGAAGACGCCAGTGACGGTGTCTAGACAAACAGCTTAGCAGTGCTTTGTCTTTGCGAAGGAACTACGTGTGCCCGAGGGAGCACTGTTCCCTAGCAACCACAGAGCGTCATAACGGTAACCAAATTTGAAAATTACACAAAGCTTACTACTATTTTCTTTCTCGCAGTTTGGGCAAACTTACAAAATTTCGTAAACTAAATGGAATCTTCAAAAATAGTGACTCATTTTCGTTGCCGTTTTAAAATCACATTTTCAAGTTAGAATCAACAATTTTCTTAAGTTCTAACTGTTCTTCACAGATCGATCCGTGCCCTGAGTGGATTTAAAAATAATTGATCCAAGCGACCTCTTTATATGAAAAACGTACAACGTAGAACAAACATAAAAACTCGATTAATTTTAGTTTACCTTTTTAACCTGACAAACAGAATTTCTTCGTCGCAATTTGGTACCCTTGACGCGGAGTCAGTAGCTTGCGATAGTTTGATGAATATGTTTGAAGGTAATCACCTTAACAACGCTTATCGCTTTGTGATTAAAATTATAATAAGGGGATTCCCCTTTCTGCATTGTTTTAAAATACTACTGGGCAAGACTGAGCCTGTAATAACCGTAACTCAGAACGTCACGTGCGATCTATAAAACGCAAAGCTTGTCTACTCGCAATTTTTGACATTTATGAGATGCAAGATGTGCTGAATCAACATAAGTTTAAAGTTGCTTCAACCAAAGACTCTAACTGTATAATTTACTCACAAGTCTAGAAATGTCACTACTTTATGGGGAACAAACAAGTCCGTAAACAAACACGCTGAGTAACAGTCCAATGATTTTAAAATTACTGTTAAAGATTTCTTGAAAATACTTGAAATAGTTGAAGAATGTCTCCCGACAACATATCTGTTTAATGACTTATTGAGTGTTAAAAATTTTTTAGCCAGACACAAAAAATGTAAATTATGAAGATTCAATTCGAAAATGTAGATGAATTCATGTCTATAATCGAAATTCCAAAGTTTTTTATTGCTTTTTTTGGCAATTTTTTAAAATAATTTTTGCGTCGAACTAGTGACCAAGAGAACCTGGGAATGAGACCTAAAGGTGAGCTGAGTCAGCAGAAAAATTTTTTTAGACAAATCTACGCTGTTTTCTATCGAAAATGATTCAGTCACTCCAATAAGCATAAGTGTAACTCCCTTGATTTCGAATTGAAGAAAAAACTGATTTCTGACTGAACCAATAAGTGTGGATTTTTCCAACAACTACCTGACTTACCTTCAAAAACAGTGCAGCAAAATCCAAGAGTTTGTTATGATAAAGCAAAAATAAGAGTGAGTATCAATTGTTTAAGGCATGCAAAGCGAAAACTTACCCTTACTCGATGCGCTCGAGTGACAATGAGTTAGGTTGAGATGGATACAGGTCCCAAATTTTCCTCGGCGGCTTGAAGAGTTAGCAAGTGACCCCTGAGCGTTGCAAAGGCGAAATAGATAGAAATTAGTTTTGCAGTCTTTTAAATTTCGTCATGCGCATGTCAAAATTTACTCACGTGATTTCCAGTCGTTTTGAATTGTAGGGCATTCTCCCGAGCTGAGATGAACTAATGAAAGGCGTAAAAGAAGATAGGAAATGTGGGAATAAATGTGTCCTATATGATGAGCCGTTTTCCAAATGCAGAGCTTTTGCTTATCCTCGACGTTATTAATATTATTTCTTATGAAATTGTACCCGCAATCTACTTCTGTGTAATATGCAGAACGAAAAATATATTTCCGTAAGGCACTTCTTATTTCTGCTGACATTTGCTAAACGCGATAAATTTTTGTATGGCTCGTGAAATCACGGTAATTAATAGTTAAAGTGTCAGTTTACGTGTTATATAAATAAATTTTTGCTGACTTTCACCTACAACGCTTTAGTTATTTTTAGAAACAATGACGTAATCTCAAACCCAGGTCACCAAATAATGAGGAGCCGTTCTTAATCTTTCCCGGCATCCAACATGGCGTCCGGAATCTGTTACCCCATTGTCCGAAGGGATGAAAGTGCTGGAAATGATTATCACGGCACGAAGATTTGCGATCCTTACGTTTGGTTAGAAGACCCAGACTCGGAAGAAACGAAATCCTTTGTAGAACAGTAAAATGCTATTGCGATGCCATATTTAGCAGCTTGTGAGACGAGAGAAAATTTCAAGAACAGGTAGGAATGATGGCTTTGTTTAAGGACTGAGATCACATTAGAGATCATTAATCTGCGCTCGATCGTGTTGTTTTGCTCAAAGTCATATCCTAAGAATGTCAGTTTGCAATGAAAATAAATCGTCACTCCGAACAAATGTAGGAGAGTTGGGAGTTTTTTTTCCTACTTGACCGGCGAGCGTAGAGTCTCTCGTGCGTTCAGAATGACACATGGAAAAGAAAGGACTCAAATAAAAGCAGGTACCATAGTGAACCTTACCAGGTATCAAATGGATTTCGTTATGTAGTCTTTAAGACACCATCTCTAGAATTACTTATTTACTTCCCTATTTATGAATCTTTTTTGGCATTATGTTATTTATTTATCCTCTCCCTTAAATTCAAATGATTATCTGCATTATATTTACTTTTAATTTTGTTTTGTTTATTTGTTATTTCATTTTTAATTTTTTTTAAAGCAAAATTGTCTTTGGATAAGGCAATTTTACATCCTACTTATGAATGTGCAATATGTGGGCAGGAAATAAATTGTATGAAGTAGTGTTGTGTGTTGAGATGTTTCAGTGGCTCAGTTGATTCTGTTAGTACCTGTTGATTTCAGGCTAACTGAGATGTGGGACTATCCGAAGTATGGCTGTCCATTCAAAAAAGGATCAAAGTACTTTTACTTGCATAACTCTGGTCTGCAAAATCAAAGGTGCAGTATCTAAGGGGCAGAGGTCTTTGTTTGTTGCTCATAAAATGCTTGAAACCTCTTCAAAAAAAAAAAAAAGAAAAAGAAAAAAAAAAGATGAAAACAGGTAATTTTTCCATGCATTGTGCATTTCGCCAATGGAAGGACAATATCCCTATAGACCTACCAAGTACATTTTTCAGTTAAAAGTACATTTGCTTGAAGCTAAATTCTCATAATCCAACATTTAAGAGTTTTTCTTTGAGCAAGATTTACATTGATTACTTGTGACTGATTTATTGATATTGATCAGGTTAAATAAGTGAGAGGTAGAAGTGAATTAAGATTGATTATGCAAAATGTCTCAGGAGCATAAAATGTGAGGATGTGAGGCCTTACTTCAGTAAAAATATCCCTGTCTCTCCTTAACCCTTCAACTCCCAAGATCTCATTAGTATACACCTTATTACAAGTAAATGACATATCATTAAATTGGCAACTTTTGGTCACCAAATTTATTTATACTCGCTATGCCAACCAAAACAGACCAAGCTCAAGAGTGCTGGTTAACCCTTTCACTCCCAAGATCTGATTAGTAATTCTCCCTACTGTCTGCCATACAAATCTTATGATGTTAGTTCGGAGCATTTGGTATAGGATCAAGTAATAATCCCCAAATTGATATTTTTCTTTGTTCTCATCACCTGTCTGCTTGATATTGTATAAATACTGTGAGGAGAAATTCTGTCTTGGTCACTCATGGGAGTTGAAGGGTTAATAACTGGAATATTGACTAAGTTTGTCATGTATATGTACACTCAGTGAAAAGTTTGAACCAAGGAAAAACAGTTGACTGTGTGGTCTGATTGTTCAGGTTACAGTAATTCCTTATAACAACTGTTGTCTGTGCTAGTGAAAAGCAGAACATGAGGCATTTTCAGAGTCAAGAGTAACAAAGTTATAGATCTCTTCCAACACTCTAGAAAATATGTATAAGATACATGTCTTTTTATCCTTTGCTAGATACTTGATTAACCATATCAATGTGTGATTTATATATCAGTACATTATAGTGTTCTGTATGTCCAAGACTCTTTGGAAAGTGAAGCACAAGTATTTCTGGACCCCAATAAACTGTCTGAAGATGGTACTATGGCATTGGCTAAAAGATGTTTCTCTGATGATGGAGGGTTCTTTGCTTATTCTTTGTCAAATAAGGGATCGGATTGGGTCACCACAGCATGCTTGCACGCAGAGTTTACAAATCAACACCCTGAACTGGGTCTGTTTTGGTTGTAAATTTTGGTGACCAAAAGTTGTCAACTTAGTGATCTGTCATTTACTTGTAGTTAGGTGTATGATTCTCATTGGTTTGTGTTTTACTTGTCTCAAGTCATAACGAGATAGTCATTTGCATAATATCAAAATGAATGCTTTACAGTTTTCTTTATGAAAAAAAAAGTTTACTAAAATAAACTCTTTGGTGACCATGTCATGATGTGAGGTTCCCACATGGCAATTTTGAAAAAAGTTGTGGTTGGAGCACATTTAGTGCCTTCATAAGGACAAGTAATGATAATTATGTAGAAATTGGTGAAGGTCTGATTTCCTTCTGAAACTTTAATCTTCCTAGGTCTAAAAGTTACTCTGGATGAAATTATTACAGACTAACATAATAACCAGCTCCCAGTTGGTTTGTTAACTCGGTTGATAGAGCTCTGCATTAGAATTGCAGAGGTCATGGATTCAAATCCCGTACAGGCCTAAATATTTTTCAGGCATTGTTTTCACTACAGCTGTAGTAGTGTTCACTACTGCGAAGATTACCTTCATATTCATTTCTTAAACTGTGTTTCACATAAATGATTTTTATTTCACAATCATATAAGAAATTTTGCTGTCCCCAGTGCAAGGCAGTCGTAACTAAAGATTAAAGTGTAATTATGTATACATTTTTATTTTTTATTCTAAGCAAAAATTTGTGGATTCAATTTTGCTCTTGCTTTTCCTCTCCCAGTTTATGAAGGTAGATGGTCAAGAACAGTTGCCAGACACTTTAGAGAATGCAAAGTTTACAAGCATGGCTTGGACAAATGATAACAAGTGATTATTTTACAATGTGAGAACTACTGGTAATTTCTTCATAATTGAATGGCTTTAAGGATGTCCAAAAATGTTTTTCCACAAGCTTTTGGGGGTCTTTTTTTTTTCTTATAAAAGAAAATTCTACCAAGAGAACTAAACTTTTGCTGGTTAACATGTTCTTTGAATTTGTTAAAAACACTACTTTGTGAAATGGGAGGACTCCTATTGATGACCAGAGAGCAGAAAGAGAAGGGTTCATAAGGTTTAATTTAGAATTCTCCCTCCTTTACCTCCATTCTTTCGCCTTCCCCTCCCTAAGGAGAGTGAAGCAACAAGGACTCACCTGAAGGACACCAGCTGATCATTGGGCCAAAAAATGTTCCTCTCGCTTTTCCCCATCCCTCCCCCCCCCCCCCCATCACCCACTCAAACTCAAACTCAAAAAAAAAAAAAAAAGGCCAGTCAGATAAATGATCATAGGCTTATACTAACTCTCCCTGGTAAGCTGTCTGCAGTGCAGGCTAGTAGCTTGCATACATGTACAGTATATGAAGATTTCCAGCTTATAAAAGCTTGTTTGTTTATTGCTATCTTTGCTGCTCAAAAGCCTCTATGTTAGATTAAGTGAGAGAAATTCACAAATTTCCATGACAAGTTGTCTAAATGTTGCTTTAAGGTACTGTACAGACAGATATTATTACATTGTATTGTTGTCAAACTATACTTTAATACTTTAGCTGTACGGTAACATGTGCAACTGAAGTGGATGAGGGGAATACAGTATATCCCTCCAAACTTATTGCCAACTGTAATGCCAAAAGACTTGAACTTACAGTTACTGTATTAAATTTTGTGTCAACACATTTCCATGTCCACAAACGCTAGCACCCCAGCGCTCATTGATGGAGCAACTGTCTTCCCATCTATCCCTGCTGGGTGCAGCTGCACCACACCCAGGCCCCCTCTCCAAAGGTTCACCATCCTGGCCTGGTACAATTGTTTTTGATAATACATGCTGAAGGGACATGAAAACTTATTGTCATGAAACAGAAATTGTTCCTTTACTTTCATGCACCAAGAATATTGCAAGTCATGAGTCAGCTTTCAAATTTACCGGTCCTGAAGACGAGATCAACCTTATTTTGTGCCGAACGCACATATGTCGGCCCCTCTGTAGTTTAAGGTTTTAAAAGTTAGTTGGGTCTGTTGATGTTAACAGTGCCCCACCCATTGGCCACAGCACATAGCACCCCAGCCTCACATAAGCCACACATCCCCACCACTGCGTTTTGTAGCATGGTGTTGTAAAAATGTACAAAAGGTTCTCTTTCATGCTATTAGGGTATTTCTTACAATTTTAGTGGGAAGAAAAACACCTCTATTAAGTACGACAGGCACAGAGCGTAAAAAAACAAGAATAATTCCCTGCAATAAATAAATGTATTTTACTGTTTGTCACCAGACAAAGATGACACTATTACAAAAACGTTTACAGAATAAAATATTTTGTAGGTTCCAAGAATTCAATTCTGATAGTGCTTAATTATATGGATTTTTGCCCTTCACGTACCCCCTAAAGTTCCTTTGTCACCGGTATTGCGTGACAACCCAAATACTCAAAGGGCGTACATGTTTGTGGTCAACTCAGTTTAGCATTGAATTAGACTGTCAGATGTAATCTTTTAGTGCATTGTAAACTGAGCAATACTCGTAGTCAACTGAACCGTTGAATAAGATGCCACAGTGAAGAAAGATATCGAACGTTTGACAACAAGATGGTGTTCGACAGGGTTGATGGTTTCATCGGACGTTATCATTTATACAGACCTAAATACGACGAACGACAAGAGAATCGCACTAAAATGGTATCTGGATCGGTCTTGTGCGGCAAATGAGGTTAGAGCATTTGGAAATATCTTTCTATGTACATTTTTCGGCCTCATATGGGTTGAAACCTATAAAAATATGTGTGACTCGCGACTGGAATGTTGACCGCAAAGGGTCAAATAACTGCATTTTAACGGACTTTGAAAAGCTTTTGTATCGCTCTCAATCATTTGCCCAAACAAATTTTTACAGTTATATTGAGAACATCTTTTCGAAATTCAACCACCAAAAGCTTAATCCATTTGAAGGTTTAGCACATGGTAAAAAATAAATTTTATTCGCGAAGTATTTTTACTGAAGAGAAATGTTTGCTTTCGAAATTAAATTATTTCAAGCGCAAAGAAGAGCGCAATGTTTCCAAAAATCATTTTGTGAGGTCTTATGAGATCGGAAAAGAAGATTTGAGTGTTTAAAAGATGAGATAGTGATTCGTTTTTGCTCGCGAAAACTTCAAACTCGTGCTATAATTTGCTGCCAAAAATGACGATTTTAACGGAATTTTGTTACTTGTATTTTGCTCTGAAATAAAAAGATATTTTGCCAAAAAAAGTGTCCAATGATTTTAGTTATAACCTAGCCTATCTAACATTAAAATAAGAAAGAAATCGAATTTTCCACCCTTGCCGCGATATGTCTGATTTTTACCGACAAGCGCTCTTAACGTCTATCTGAAGTTTTGGTTGTAAAGGCAACTGTCACTGCGTAACAAGATTTTAACCCTGTGACTTGATCACGTGCTTATACTTAGGGTATTTCCCGCTTATGATACAAACTGACATAAAGGCAAAAAGAAAGAAAAGAAAAGTGGGAATTAAAGATACAGGTAGTTATGCACGCTGGGAATTTTCCTCGTGCAACAATTTTTTTTCCGTTTAGCCTCTTTTAATTGTCTCTAAAGAAGTTCTATCGCGCGTTGTGGGCAAAAAAAAAAAAATTGTATTTCGCTGACATTTGCTGACCGTGGTATTTCGATTTATTTTAGCAAGTTAGATCACAATTAAAATGTCATTACAATGAAAGATGGCTGTTTTCATTGTTAAGTCACCATTAAATAAAGCAGTCGTATAAATTGTGTGCATTTTGCATTTTGCTGACTGTCGATAAACACATTGTAATATACCATGACGTCATGAATCAACGCTCACGTGTAGCCGTACCCTCCCCCGCAAGGTGAAACGGTGTTATCTCAGTCGGCCCAATCCGCGGCTCGGTAAGTTCTAAGATGGCGTCCGTTATACATTATCCTAAATCTCGGAGAGATGAAAATGCGGTAAATGATTATCATGGCTCGAAGATTCACGATCCTTACGTTTGGTTGGAAGACCCAGACTCGGAGGAAACGAAAAGATTTATAGAACAGCAAAACGCTATTACGATGCCCTATTTATCAGCTTGCGAGACGAGAGAAAATTTCAAGACCAGGTATAAATGCGGGCTTTGTTTTAGGACCAAGGTCACACAAGAAATCACTAGTCCACGTTTCCATTTGGTAGACTCAATCTCCTAAGAAGATTAGCTCAAAACGAGTTATCACCCCGGGAAAATTCAGCAGAGTTTTCGTGATTTTTCAGGTCCCGCATTTTTGCGTTCAGAATGACATGTGCAAACTATACGGGGATATATTGAATTGTTATAGTGTACCTTAATGGGTGTCAAATGATTTCCTTACGAAGTCTCTACGTCTCGTTCTCTACTTATGTTTCTTTATTTATTTACTTTTATATATTTTTTGGCATGATTTTATTGATTTGACATGACATTGATTTGACATGACTTCCCCCAGCTCAGACGTTAAACGTTTGTGAAGGACTTAAAAAGGTTGTAAACAAGTCACCATTTCCATTGACAAATGTGATTAAAAAACGATTTCAATTAAAAAAAAAACTGAAAAATAGATAAGGATGGAATTAAAAAAAAAAAGCGAAAAAAAAAACTGATAATAAAAATGCATATTTTGAGTGAACAAAACAAAACGTATTAAGTAATGTTATGTCAATAGGTTCCAGTAGTTCAGTTGATTATAATGGTACTTCTTTATTTCAGGCTAACTGAGATGTGGGACTATCCAAAGTATGGTTGTCCAATTAAAAAAGGAGCAAAGTACTTTTACTTACATAACTCTGGTCTGCAAAATCAAAGGTGCAATATCTTAGAGGCAATGACCTTTGTTGCATACGAAAATGCATAAAAAAACACAAAAACCGGGCACTTTTCCTAGGAATTTATGCATTTCATGTTTGAATTGCCTGTTCAAGCACTGTTCAGAATGAAGAGAAAGGACAAGATCCCCATGAACTTTTCAAGTACATTTTACAGTTGAAAAATAAATTTTCTTGAAGCTTTCTTCTGACTCACAATTCAACATTCAAAGTCTGTTCTTTTTTCATATAAGAGACAAAATTTACATGGATTGTGTATTGTGACTGATATATTGATATTTATCAGGCTAAATCAGTAACAGGGAGATGTGGTTTTAGATCAATTATATGCACATTAATATAGAATTTAAAGCTTTACTAGAGCAATATCCCTGTATCTCTTTATTAACTAAAAAACTAACTGCATCTTTCATGTAGATTCAGTGAGTGGTTCGACCCAAGGAAAGCAGTTGACTGTGTTGTATAATTGTTCAGGTTACATTAATCCCTTAATTAGGAACTGTTGTCTGTGCTAGCAACAAGCAGAACATGGGGTATTTTCAGAGTCAAGAGTAATAGAATTATAGATCTCTTCAAGCACTTCAGGACATTTGTATAAGGTGCATAACTGTTTCTCTTTCTTTCTTGATACTTGATTAATGATGATTTGTGATTTATATACATTGTAGTGTTTTGTATGTCCAAGACTCTTTGGACAGTGAAGCACAAGTATTTCTTGACCCCAATAAACTGTCTGAAGATGGTACAGTGGCATTGGCTAAAAGATCTTTCTCTGATGACGGAGAGTTCTTTGCTTATTCTTTGTCATATAAGGGATCAGATTGGGTCACCATAAAGGTACTGATAGTATGCTTGCACAAAGAGTTTATTTACCCTTTCACTCCCACAAGTGACCAGGACAGAATTTCTCCTTACAATATGAATACACATCAAGCATGCAAGTGATGAGAATAGAGAAGAATATCAATCACAGGATTATTAGTTGATCCAATACCAAATTCTTTGAACTAACATCATGAGAATTGTATGGCAGATAGTAAGGAGAATTACTAATCAGATCTTGGGAGTGAAAGGGTTATTAACCAGCACTCTTGAGCTTGGTCTGTTTTGGTTGGCATAGCGAGTATAAATAAATTTTGGTGACCAAAAGTTGCCAATTTAATGATATGTCACTTACTTGTAATAAGGTGTATAATTCTCATTACTTTGCGTTTAACTAGTCTCAAGTCATAATAAGATAGTCATTTACATACTATCAATGCTTTACTGTTTTCGTTAATAAACTTCTTGGTGACCATGTCATGATGTGTGGTTCCCTCTGAGCAATTTCGGAAAAAAGTTGTTGATGGAGCACATTTTATTTCCTTATAAGGAAGAGTAATGATAGCTGTGTAGAAATTGGAAACTCAAGCAAGGTCATTCATGAAGGTCTGATTTCCTTATGGAACTTTAGTCTTTCTAGGTCTAAAAGTTACTCCAGATGAATTTATTACAGACTAACATAATTAAACCAGCTCCCATTTGGTTTGTTAGCTCAGTTGATAGAGCACTGCACCAGTATTGCAGAGGTCATTGGTTCAAATCCTGCCCCTACAGGCCTTAATATTTTTAAAGTCTTGTGTTCACTATGTCCTTAGTTAGTAGTGTTCATTACTGCAAAGATTGCTGTCATATTCATTTCTTGAACCACTGTTCACATAATTATATGATTTTTATATATTTGCAATCATAGATGAAATGATGTGGATTAAAATTTAAATCTTGCTTGCTTTTCCTCTCCCAGTTTATGAAAGTAGATGGTCAAGAACAGTTGCCAGACACTTTAGAGAATGCAAAGTTTACAAGCATGGCTTGGACACATGATAACAGGGGATTATTTTACAATGTGAGAACTACATATAATTTCTTCATAATCAAATGGCTTTAAGGATGTTCAATAAGGTTTTTCCACAAACTTTTGTGGGATCTTTTTTTTTCTCTTATAACAGAAAATTCTGTCAAGGGTACTAAACTTTTGCTGGCTAACATGTTCTTTAAATTTGTTAAACACACTCTCTTGTGAAATGGGAGGACTCTTATCTATATGGCCAGAGTGCTGAACAAGACGAGAGCAATATGAGAAGACAAACTCATACCTAAGCCCATATTTTTGGGGTCAGGTAAATAAGTTCATGAGATTTTACATAGAATTTTGTTTCTGTTACCTTCCTCTCTCATTGAAGAGGGGATGGGGACACAAGGCCTCATCTCATGGACAACCACTGATCAGTGGGCTGATTAATGTACTAGTGGTTCAGGAGATGAATTTCCTATTGTTGATGGTGACGATAGATGCTAATGGGACATGAAAATTTATTGTCATGTTTATTTATTTTATTGATACTTAAGTTTAGAAGGTTAGTTTAATTGGTTCTAACATATATGTAAATAATTTTTAAATTTTAAGCGTTACCCAACTGGTGACAAAGCAGATGGAACAGAAACTGATCTAAACCTCAACCAAAAGGTTAGTGGTAATGTACTTAGAATACTGTGAAATTTTAAACCTCTTCTTATTTGAAGTTAAGAAAATAATGGTTAGGGTGCAGAATGCTTGCAACCATTGAGTTATTGATGCATGAGGGAGATTTATAGGCTTGAAAGAGGGGTAAGAGTCCTACAGGGTGTTGGCAGAGTGCGACTCTAGCTTTTTGAGTGCATTCATGACTCAATGGTTCCATTTCTTTTATAACATTGGGACTTTCAAACATCTTTTGTTTAACGTAGAAAAAATGAGCAAACAAACTGATGTCATTATGCAACCCACAGGCAAATGGATCAAGCGTATTAGCCAATCAAAGCATATGCTTTCATAAAGCTAATTGTTGTAAAACAGTTTAATCAGTTGTTACTCAGCACATACAAGTTGAAAAGCAAAGACAAGCTGTAGGGGCTTTAATAAGATCTACAGCTACACTGTAAGAGGTCTATTCAGATGTTCAAGTGTGAGTCTAATGCTTTCATGGAACATTAAGCAGGAAATATCATGCAGTTGTACATCATTGTTCCTTTAAATTTTCGTAACATTGTTAAGTATGGGTTTATCTTTGTTTTACCAACAGCTCTATTACCATGTACTTGGAACCAGCCAATCTGATGATGTTCTCTGTGCTGAATTTCCTGAGCATCCAAAGTGGTCTACGTAAGTTACTATGTTCAAGTACATAACAATACATTCAGTAGATTTTGGAATTAGGAAAACTAAGCAACACAGAACAAAACAAACTAACGAAAAAAAAAACGGGTACAACTACAGTAAGAGAAACAAACTACCTTTGAGCTTACTTGGTGATCTTTTTGTCAGAAAAAAATATCAATTGTGTACCCTGTGCAAAGAACTGACTTTGCATATTTTGTTGTGAAGTGTGATGTATTTTTACCCTGCTCAGCAAAATGTGATGTTGTTCAGGTGATTGTTACAAAGGGATAACTGCACGGGCCAATGATACTGTGTTGCCAGAATCAAGAGTTTAGAGAATAAATCTCGCCACATTGAGCGTTCTTTGCGGCGACTATGAGTACGCGAACTGATCAAACTTCACATTTTTTGGGAAGGAGGGGCTGGGGGTGTGTTGTGTGCGGTAAGGGGGATGGGGATTGGGGATTGGGGATTGTAAAATATGTCACGTGTTTAGAGCCATAATCGTGCTGGATTTTTTCGAAATTTTAGGCTTAAACGGTGTAAATTTAGCTCTTAAAAATAAACAAATCGCATGAGTAACGCGGAATTCTAAGATAATTGAAATTGAGGCGACTTGAATTTCACGAGGTTCTATAGCTATACACAGTGGAGCTATATTTTTTCATAGCATCGTGCTTTGAATCTCAAGTTACGAAGCATGCCATTTAAACAAACAGGCTTACATGGACATTTAACGACAATTATTATTCTATGATTGTCTTACAGAGGTGCAGGAGTTAGCGACTGTGGAAGATATTTGATTTTAACCCCTCATGAAGGCTCTGCCCCATTCAATAGACTCTTTTACTGCGATCTCAAATATCAAGAGGGTATTACAGGTGAAAATTTTTTTATCTCCTTTTTGAAACATGTATATTTGGCATTTTTGTCTGTAAAACAGGGCGGCTTTGCGTAAGGTTCCGGGAGAGTGATTTTTTTTAACCATAAAGTGTTATTACTCACATTTTCCTAAAGATGTACAATACTCGTCCATCTTTGGTAAACGCACAGCTTTCTTTTGATCCTCCGTCACTCAAACCGAGGGCCAGCGGTTTTGGAGCATCTCATAGGTCGTGTGACACGTTGCTGCTCGACCTATGACATATTTGTGACTGGTCACGCTTTTCACACGGACCTCGCTTACGTCACCCATCTGTCACTACGCACGAAATGCGTAATGACAGATGGGTTCTTGACTTTTTGTCTGTAGTTATTATAACGTTCTTTAGCTTTTACCAGAAGAAACCATTCTAATAATTTATCCCTCTAACTCCTAGGATGCAACTGTCGATTCTCCCCCTCGAGAATTAGGCGTTGGATCAACCTTTTTCCTGATAAGTTTGGGCATTCTCGTTATCTGTTTGCCTGATAATGTATGGATATTATAGGGAGAAGTTACATGTTAATCGTTAGTGGAAATTAAAGGATTGAGACGAATTCTACACCTTACATGGTATTTCTTTTTTTTTAATTTTTCTGTGTGTGGCAGGTTTGCTTCCTTTTGTGACGGTTGTGGACAATTTTGATGCACAATATGAGGTGATTAGAATGATAATTATTGACTGATAGAGGTGAACGAGTTTTGAAATCCTGTTTGGAGCGACTTCTCTACGTAGAGGGAAGTTGCAGAGATCTCCATGTAGAGGCACTGGGGAATTTGACCTACGTGTGTTCAAATCTTTCCTCCGCTTCGCTCCTACATTTGTGTGTACAATCCGCAAGCCTTGTCATTAAAAAAAAAGTGCTATTTACCTCTTTAAATATTAATGTAGTTATCTGAAATTTGATAAAGGTAGATTTTTTTCTCATTATTTGTAACAATTATTTTTACTCTTTAGTACATTACCAACGAAGGAACACTGTTCACCTTCAAAACGAATTTCAAATCTCCTAGATACAAGTTGATTAACATAGACTTTTCAAAACCAGAAATGGTGAGTGTTATTCTTGTACATGTAATCACACTTAAAACAAATCATAGGAAGGGTGTCTAATGGTTTTACAGTTTGCAAGGAAAGGAAACACATAATCATTGCCGTATCCTGAGAGAGGAAAATGTGTTAAACAGTATCGACACGAGAATTGAAAATATCATCATGTGAAGGAATTTTTTTTATGCTCTGATCTGGCTAAAAATTCTCATTACTTTTAGAGAAAGATGCGACTATTTAGCAGGCATTTCGGGCTTCAGAGGCAGAATAGCTTTTACTCTGTGCTGGTCGCCCAGTTGTAGTCCAAGTTGCTTTCAAGGCCTGTGTTTGGAAGGCTGTAAAATTTCTGTGAATTTGCATTAATCAAGGGAAAACAGGATAGTAAATTATGATTTTGAACGAAATTCCTACTTTCATACACCAATGATCGTTATCATTGTCATTGTTGGTATGAATATTATTATTACTATTATTGTTTTGACGATCGTTATCATTATTTGCATATTTTGTTAAGGAAAACTGGACCACTTTGGTTGAAGAAGACGAGAACGACGTCTTAAAATGGGCTACCTGTGTCAAACAGAACTTTCTGGTACTCTGCTATCTTCATGACGTCAAGGTGGGCTATCTGTGTTTTGAACACGCGTTCTTGAAGCTTTTTAAGAGAGAGATGCGGGCCTATCCTTTCTAAAAGAAAACTCGAAAAAAAAAAGAGAAACCAACCTGAAACTTCATCTCCGCTAATTTGGTCTAGAAACTTAGGCTAGCACTTCAAAGTAAATATACAGTATGTTAGATAAAGATGTTAGTATTAATTCTGTAGTGAATCTTGCCTACAGAGCATTCTTCGTCTTCACAAAATCACTGGAGAAAGACTCATGACCTTCCCACTCGATATCGGCAGCATTGTAGAGCACTTTGGAAAGCGGAAGGATTCAGAGGTAAGCGAATCCAACACTGCAATAGTCACATACTAATATGTATTTCACGGATGAATGTTCAATCGATTTTAATAATTATTCATCGGTTTCTATATTTTGTACTCAGTTGCATATTCTTACTTTAAGGCAGGTATAGATATACAGGATAAAAAAAATTACCTGCAAGGGGACACTGTAACCTGCACGAAAACCTTTTACCCATTCACGGCAAAAAAAAAAAAAAAAAAAAAAAAAAAAAAAAAAAAAAAAAAAGAAAAAAAGCTGATCATTTATAAGTCTAAAGCTTAGGTGTTTATGTATTTAGTGCAAGTCAATACCTACATAACGCTTTCCTTGCGTTAATATTTGCTTACTTTTTTTTCTTTCAGATTTTCTACAAGTTTACTTCGTTTCTGACTCCTGAAGTCATCTATCGTTGCGATTTGACGCAAGAAGATCCCCAACCCAAGGTTTGCATTTGAAAGTCAGCTCAATTCAGTCACGATCCTCTGAAATGTTCTCGACCTCGTGTCAGACCCAGTAGAAGGTCTTAGGGTGTTTTGAAACAGTGTATTTTCTTGGCAGGTTTTTCGTGAAACAAACGTGAAAGGGTTTGACTCAAGTCAGTACCAGACTGTCCAAGTGTTTTATCCAAGCAAAGATGGAACCAAGATCCCAATGTTCATTGTTCATAAGAAGGTGAGTGCTAGAACCAAACCCAACAGCCTCCTCACAGGTCAACCCTTTTACTTCCAAGATCTCATTAGTAATTTTCCTTACTGTCTGCGATACAATTCTTATGATGTTGGTTCTGAGAATTTGGTAATGAATCAACTAATAATCCCCTAACTGTAATTTTTATTTATTCTCATCACTTGTCTGTTTACTATGGTATTGATTTGGTAAGGAGAAAGTCTGTCTTGGTCACTCATGAGAGTTAAAGGGTTAAACAGACGGCAGTGAGAGGTCTTGTAGGTGGTGGTTGACCATCCCTAACTAGCATTCTTTGAGACCCCTGTTATTGTAACTCAACTCCGCCTGCCATTAGGATCGTGTGTTCAACCAGACCAGCGGATAAGTCAGGATGCAGTTGTCTTGTTGAACAAACGATCCTGATGGTTTTTGTTCTCATTATTGGTTTTCTTTCACTAGTCCCAAGTATATAGCCTGTCGTTGCTTTGTTCTTTTTTTTATTCCTTTTATATTCATGTAGTATGAATAACAATTAATTATCTTTTTTCTTTTGTATTTTTATTATTTGACTTTTCAGGGTATCGAGTTAGATGGAAGCCATCCGCTGTACTTATTTGGTTATGGAGGGTTTAACATATCAGTCACGCCGTCCTTCAATGTGTCAAGGATCGTGTTTATGAGACATCTCGGAGGCGTCATCGCCATACCAAACCTGAGAGGTGGAGGGTAAGTCATATATACATTACCACACTCAACCTGAGGGGTGGAGGGTGAGTTATATGCTCATTGCCACGCCCAACCTGAAGGCTGAAGGATAAGTTACATGTACATTACCACATCCAACCTAAGAGGTGGACGTCAAGTCACATGTACATTGCCCTATCTAAGGTGAGGGGTGGGGTAACATATGTACGTTGTTATACCAAACTTGAGGGGATGAATGTAAATCACTTACAATGCCATACTCATCCTCACAGATGGAGGGTGAGTCATGTACCTTGCCATGCGTAGGGTAAACGCGGGGGGGTGGGAAAGTTAGAGGTACACTGGTTCATCCAACCTCAGGGGTGAAGGTTGACTTAACACTACATTAATTACATTTTCCTGAAGTTAAGGTTATAATTGAATTTTTTTTTCTTGGCAGTGAATATGGTGAAACTTGGCACCAAGCGGGCTGCTTTGGCAACAAACAGAATGTATTTGACGACTTTCAATACGCCGCCATTTACCTCACCCAACAGAAATACACATCCCCAGAAAAGTATGTTTATTGCTCCGCGCATTTACAAAAAACAAACGACGTGAACACTTTAAAACTTATAAAAGCTAAGTTTTTCGTTTGTCTCACGATGTAGTCACGTGTAATGTAGATCGAGACGTTTCGACTGCATACTGCTAGTCTTCTTCAGGCGATGAGGTCGACTGGTTATGTGTGATCTTATAAAGCATGATGCTCTGCTGTGATTAGTTGTTTTTCAGCAGCTCCGATTGGTGCATTTCGATCCTTGCTGTTCACTCAGTGATTTGCTCCCTCGGCGGTCCGCTGTTGCACGGCTCTCCTGTTGTGTGGATTAAAAAAAAACCTTTGCCGTTGTCCTTCGATATTGTTGTAGATATTTTCTATGAACGTAGTCATTACGTAGCATGTAATGTAAGTCGGATTTTTCTAGTGAATTTTCTTCTCAGGTGCACGTTCCCTAACCACCTCCTTCTCCCTCTTCCCCGCCCCCTCTTCCCCCCGTTCCTCCCCGTTCCTCCCCGTTCCTCCCCCGTTCCTCCCCCGTTCCTCCCCCGTTCCTCCCCGTTCCTCCCCCGTTCCTCCTCCCGTTTCTCCCCGTTCCTCCCCCCGTTCCTCCCCCCGTTCCTCCCTCCCGTTCCTCCCTCCCGTTCCTCAATGGAAACACGTTGTAAATGGGTTTTTGTTGAGTGCGTGGTCGAAATTCCCAGAACAAAATTGAGTTTTGCTTTTGTTGTTTGTTTGTTTGTCTGTTGTTGTTGTTGTCTTTTTTAATCAAGAAATTTTTTTTTCGGAATTCTTTTTATATATTTATTCATTTCCTTATTCGCTTTTTCATTTGTTTATATTTCTAAAGAATAACCATCGTCGGTGGATCCAATGGCGGCTTGTTGGTGGGCGCGTGCATAAATCAGAGACCAGAGTTGTTTGGTTGCGCTGTTTCACACGTTCCGTAAGTTATGAGAATTTGTCATGGTCTTGTCTCATAATTTGAGCATGAACTAATTGAAATCCTTTCATCTCATGTGTCAGAGTTATGGACATGCTCAAGTTTCATAAATTTACCATCGGCCATGCATGGTAAGTGGTAATATGCTTTAATCACTTACATTGTAGCGTTTTTGTGGTTTTCTTGTGAGCATCTTTTTGTAGAATTTATGTTCTTAATCTGATCAGGTTCTAAACGCAGCCCTTAAAAGATTTCTTAAAGAAAAGTTTGTTTTGTTACCTTTTTATTGTTGATGTTGTTGTTGCTTTTTATTTTTCGTAAAGGACAACAGACTTTGGTTCACCCGATAAGGAGGAGGATTTCAAATGGCTTATCAAGTGGGTTGTTAATAATACTGTACTTCTTTACCAGTGGAGGAGATACTCTAAAATTGTTCTTGGTGGTATTCAAGCTCTTTTTGTATAGAAATCAATAGTTACAGCTGGCCAACAATCTTCCCCCTCCCTACCTTCCGTAAAAAAATACTTAAACAACAACCTGATTGTCAATCCAAAAGAGAGTGCGTGACGCAGTCATGCGCAGTATGGTTATACGGTATGATCATTTGTGACTCATAGAAAATGCTATAGTTGGTTACAGCAACTGATGTTTCGACGAACAAGTTCTGATTGGTTGATTTTTGCTGCATAACTGGCTATACTTCGCCTCCAAATCCTTTACTGCTGTTTGCGATGTGTCTAGTACCAAACCGTATTACAGTTTAATCGAAAAAATTGAAAGAACCTTCTCGTTTTTCTTTAAGACATGCCATTTTTTAGAAAGTTTAAATCTGGCTCAAAATGTCGTAAACCGAAGTAAATGTTTCTCAGTGTCTTATGTTACAAGTTAGTTGATTATTTTGGCCGGCCAGCTTCATTGCTGGAAAAAAATGAAGCAAAAGATCTGATCCGGTTCGCGACTGACGCCTTTTTTACAGTAGTGGAAATTACAGCATTAGGGAGTCTCAAGGACAATCTAATCCAAGGAAACAACGACGAGTGTCGTGAATTTAATTTCCATTTTTTATGCGTTGTGATATTTTTAGCCCTTTGATAAATCCGTTAGTGACCACGCATGTTCGACCAGTATGGCTAAGTACTGGTCTCGTTCATTTTCGCGTTTTTGTGAACCTCGACATAGCCCTGATCCAATTTCCACGCTTGATCAATGATGAAGTGGTATGGTTTTATCTCAGATATTCTCCTCTTCATAACATCAAGATTCCCGAAAGTGGTGCCCAGTACCCTGCACTTCTACTGCTAACTGCTGACCATGATGATCGAGTAGTCCCCTTACATTCTCTAAAGTACATCGCCCAATTGCAACATTGTGTTGGTAGTTACGAGAAGCAGGTAATATTCGTCATCAGAAAATGTCACCTCAGAAACGTAAATGACAAATGTTTTCAGAGCATTACAGTGAAAATAAACCGAATGACCGTACAATACTTGTAACAAAAGGACAAAAAAATATCGCTTTCTTGCAGACAAATCCTTTGCTGATCAGAATTGATACAAAAGCTGGTCATGGTTTTGGGAAACCCACAGCCAAGATTGTAAGTTGGCACATTCATCTCTGTTACTTTCGTAATTATCGCTTACTCAGTAGGTGGACTGACAAATGAATTAGTTAAAACCCGTATTCATTTAGATTTCTGTGGCGGGAACAGTGAGCACAGATGCGTAAGTTGAGAGGAAATGGATTAATCGCGTCAAAGAGGGTTATGAACACTTCAAAGCGGGGAAACTGCAGTGCATACTTTTCTTATGTAGGATTCTGTGAATTTCAAGTTCATTGTTTCGTCACTTAGCCCACTGTCCCGTTATATTTACCCTCGGCCTTTGACAAAAATGCGATTTTAATTTTACCTTAAAACCTTTCTGCACCAACAATGGTAAGGTATTGGAAGGTTAGCGTAACCTGGCCTCGCTTCCGTACATGCGCACAGAGCAGGACCTTTTCAGGCCTACAAAACGACTTCGATTGCTTTTTTGAGTGAGACAGAATCCCTTTTTGTTATTGATCATCTTTACAGGACCTTAGGTGCCAGTCTTCCTTCACCTAACTAATGCATTTTTATTTTTCTTTCAGATTGAAGAATGTTCCGATATATATGGTTTCATTTCACGAAATGTTAACCTAAAATGGCAAGACTGATACGTACAAGTGCAGAGCATTATGAAAACATGCTTAAATGAAGCAGTTGTATCCTTAGTGTCACGCACAACCCTGCGTGACACTTGCGTGCGATAATTATACCATCGTTAAGGCCTCCTGTGCCGACCAAGAAAAGCCTCTTATTATATATATAATTGCTATTTAAACTTACTGTATTATCATTTTATCACAATTACAATTATATTTTTTTCTGTTATTTCTACTCCTCGTGCTTGCAATAAATACCCTTTAAATGTTGCTGTCGTTTTTGACCGGTAGAATCTGTACAAAAAAAAAAAAAAAAAAAAAAAACTCCCTGGTGTCTCAGGCCACCTCCTCTTTCTAGTTTGACTCTATCAATCCCTTAATGATTTCATTTGGTTTCCTGGGCAAAAGAATTTTCTTACTATCGCCATGGTAATAGGACCGAGTGGAGTCCGATTCGATCAATAACCATACTTGTAATGAACAAAATCGGACGATCGCGAAGCTTTTCCCAAAGCACCCATGAAGTGATTGGAAACAATTTCTCGCTTGGTGTCCCTCGCACGATTGTCCCAGTTGTGTATATCTTGTATGTTGTATTCTGTTATGCGCTAGTTGTCCATCCTGTTCTCCAATCCCTGGATAGTTCTAAACTGAAGGATGCAGTTTCAAGTTTTATCCCATCTTTTTTCTTGATTGCGATAACAAGATTCAAGTTTCGACTCGATTTCTTCCTTTTTTCAAGTCTTCTCTTTAATATTATTTTGAGAGAAATTCTGTAGCCATGTGCACTAAACTACATAGCTGAGTCGTGAACCGGAAACTTTTATTTATGCGGTATTAGCCGTCGGTAATGCGTTCTATTTCAATTCAGATATTGTTCGTGCACAAATGTGTGCTCGAGTTAAAAATTTTGATTTTTAAAAAGCACAAATCCGTTGATAATAGAAGTATAGTTCACACACTCAGGCAAACCCCGTGCAACCGCCTGATACGAAAACCTACTGGGATGAATGGGCGTGTAATTTCCGATCAAATTCAGGAGCACCAACCTCTGGGAGCTGGAGATAACTTTGAATTCAACTTGTGCTCGAAATATATAGACATAAGTTAAGTTATGAATTTTTTTTAAGAATGTCTGAACACCTTTTATGCGCCGAATATCACCTTTTCCAAAATAAAAATGTTAAGGTTAGAGCGCAGAGATGAACAAATTAAAACTGTCGAACCTGCTATGTACAAAAATGGCCTGTTTACAAGGTGGTGGGGGACCCCAGGTAGGTGAGGTGATCCGCCTTACTGTGGTCGAAAAATGACCCACGTTTACATACAATTTTACAACCTCGGGATGCCGAGGAGAGGTTTGTCGAGGTTGTTATCGCACTTGTAATTGAAGACTTTAGGACGTCACTACGGCGACGTATGGTAAGACGTCGGCGAAAAAATGTAATTTAAGATTAGGCGAGCTACCTCACCTAACTGGTGTCCCCCACCTCCATTTAATCAGCGCCATACTGTTTGGCAAACGGGAGACAGTTGCTGCTTGTTTGTCTTTACCACACGCATGATTTTGAGATAACAACATCGTAATATGTTTTCTTTTACCGGAATTACGGACGACTGAACAGATTGCTTAATGCAATACTACATATTTTCATGCATTGTAAGTAAAGAAGATTTGCTGCTGGCAGTTTAGGTCTTCTAGGTTCTTCCTTACACATGCCATTTTTCGTTCTAAATACGTTGATTTGAAACCATAGAAAACATTTGCTAGTTTTTTTTCAGCTTTTTGTGGTTTCCAGGTTCATATATAGGCGTCAAGGGTCAACGATTTCTGTTCAATCGTTTAACGATCAAGAACTGCATGTTGATTCAGTTTAAGAAAAATGATGCAAACTGCAGAATTTTTAGATTTCCGCTATAAACTAATTATTAAATTGATCAAAATAAATCATGACCAAACGAGAAACAACGCAGCACCTGACACTCGATGATTTGACAAATCAACATTTCGTTTAGCGTAGACTGTATTTTTATCGACAACGATATTCGTCATCACAGCGGTCAAAATGTTGTGGACTCGCGAGGCGCAGCCCTTTGAATCCACAACAAAAAACTAGTTCGATTCATTACTCTCTGGATCGATCATAAGTTGACGAAGAACCTCCGCTACTTTGAAATTTGCTTAATTCATTTCATTCATTCGATTCAGTCGAGAAAATTGTTGATGGTCTCTCTCCCATGTGCCGACGTGCCTTCGGGGGAAAATCAGTTGTGTAATAATTTTAAGAGACCGTTAACCTAATTTTTAGATCTCTTGAAAAACTCCAAGGCACAGCTTGATGAATCTTGAAGAGCGGAGGTCAATTTCGAAAAAAAAGGGGCCAATAGATTCAATTTTTGATTCGTAAGCACGTAGATCTACAAGAATCTATTACTAATAGGCGTTGTTTCCCCCGCTTTTGTGAGCAGGACACAGAAAGAGTACTTGTCGCGAGCAGTTTGGCTGTTTATAGTTACTGTCTCCACTTGATATTGAATTCCAGTTGCAGAGAGTATGAGGAGTCCCTTTGGTGAGGAGAGGTACTGAATATTTCAGTCTTTTCGATGGCAAGTTTTCCCTCTGGTTTTCACTCTCATTTGCAAAACGCCAATGAAATTATTGGAAACAATGTTTCTACCTGGGTACCCCTATCGTGATGAGTTATCAGTGATTTGTATACTTTAAACATTGTTTTCAGCAGACTGAAAATTATAACATTTAAAAACGTTTTCGTAAGCATTTTATTATACTTGTTTGAGTTTGAGCTCTGTGATATCAGTTCTTTTCGTCACGTGAAGTCCCTTTAATCTTTTTTACTTCTAACATTAAACTAAGATAATGATGTTGAATCAGGTGCGAATATTAAGGCAAATGTGGATGGGGGGGGGAGGGAGAGGGTACATTTTTTTTAATCTGTGAAAAATTTTAAAGTTTTGCTAATCTGCTGCTTTATTAAAGAAATTCGTCTAATCTTTCTTTTATTTTTTAGTAACTCTAGGCTAAGCTTTTAAAGTTCCGATTCGTAACTTTTAACCTTTCTATGGAGCACCGGAGGTAGATTGTCTATTGTATTCGATATGAATAAGATTGTAGATCGAAGTTTTCTTTCATGCAAGTTTTTACTGTTATTCCTTCCCTTGTATACAATATCAAATTCTTAGCTTGGGTCACTATATTTAGCTCCAGGCACACAGCATTGCTTACAGGAGAAATCCACTCGCTTATTACTGCTAACCGAACATTTGAAATTATGCCATCGTGAATATCGACAACGCTATCACAAAATGATTGACAATTATACATACAATCATTTTTATCATTATTTGTTATTATTATTGTTATTATTATTATAATAATTATTATTATTACTTTTAGTAGTAGTAGTAGTAGTGGTATTGTTATCAGTACAAATAGTATTACTATCGTGATAATTACTATTGTTATTGTAATTTTTATCATTGTCATTCCTATTTATATTATCAAATTTCTAAGGTATATTTCAATCCATCCCTTCGCATGTTGGATTTCATTACCTTAAGCTTTTCAGTGCAGTTAAATGGAAGCAATCAACGTAGATGCTCTAGGATAGTAAATATGTACTGCTAAAACTATCAGATATCTGAAACTATCTAGTGAATCACAGGCCAAGTAAAGAGTTTTTAATGGCAAGGTTGTTGATGAACAGGTATTTTAACCAAGATAAAACACCTCCCAGTCATCAGGTGAAAAGTGCCGTGTACCAGACAAGATTGTGCTTGGCTTATTTGCTCCTTTTGGTGTCTCGTAGAAGCTAAGGTGGGTGTATGAAGCATTGTTGCTGTTAGAATTATCCGAAATGTGAATGTCCCAGCCATTTCCAAATATTGGACCATACCCCTGTGACCTGTAAATTGCATATTGTGGCTGTAAAACCATGCTCTTAAATGGATGCAGTTCTTCTTTGTTCCGTAGAGAAAATATGAACGCATTGGGAGTGTTGCCATAACCAAAAGAATCTGAAAAAACAAAAGCGTAGGTACAATTTAAACTAGTGCCCTGTTTGGGTAACGAAGTGGTTAAAGGGCCGCTGACTAGAACTCCGTACAGTGGAAATATCAGAGACTGATTTACTTAGTTTGGTCTTTCAAGGCACAATGAATTCGAAGTTAAATTTAAGTTTTTACCCCAAGTAATATCAGTGTATCCTCCAAACACGTACTGGCCTTTTTTGATGATGGTCACGGTGTTTGGTTTATGGTCGCAACTGGTGTGGAAGATGCTTGCAGCCCAGCCGTGCGTGGAGGCGCGGTGGCACAGCAACCACTGTGAACTATTTCCTACAGCAGGCGACAAAAAATGTGACAGGTTGCCGAGAAAGTTTGTGTTGCCCACCAATATTGTAGAATTGATTAACATACCTAAGAAAAAATAACATAGTCCATAAAAATTGATTCAACCGCATTGCCTGTCACATGAACTTCAATCCACGAGGCAAAAACAAAAAAAAAAAAAAAAACGCGTACAGTATTTACCTCAGGAAGCTTCGCTCTTAGGTTACACCTTGCGCCTTGTTTGTTGGTCGTTTGCGATAGGATTTCAAAATAATAATACTCATAATCGTAATATTAACAAACAAGGAAAGAAGCCTTGACTGTGCCCTGTTCTGTTGTAAAGCAGTTGAGAAGCGGTTAGAGCCCAAAAGAAGTGTAGGGGAAATCACGAGACGTAGTACAAATTGGCAGATGGCGTGACAGCTTTAGCTCAGCCCATGTTTTGTACCCTGATAGCACACGCTCTTTCAACCAATGGCAGGGCACGTTATATCCGAACTTTATTTTAATAATAATTTAACAGTGGACATTCCATATGCACACATACATGCCCTCTGGTTTGTAACTCATTCAACAACAACAGTGGAAATTATCTAAGACTCATTATGCCTTAGCATTACTGTTGATCCGTTCCATATAGATTCTAGGTTTCCGCACAACATGACCGCCGATTATTTCCATAAAGGCTCTTAATAGGCAACAAGTATTTTGAACAAACCTGGTTCACATCGCTTTCCAGAAAACCCCTGTCGACATCGGCACTCGAAGCTAACGACTCCATCGATGCAAGTTCCACCGTTAAGACATGAGTCTTTCTCGCAGTGCTTGATAACTTTAAAACAAATCAATTAAAATCATATTAAAAAATAGAAAAAAATATATATATACATGATACGCATAAAAGTTATTGAGACATTGGGAACGTTTTAAGTGAAGAAGATTATTCCTTTATTCATGTCCATTTAAAGCCTAAACATCCAATAGACCATCAAGAAGTTGTCATGTAACATTAGCGTCAACACTTCCTGTGCAATTGGAACCCAACGTATTCGCACTGCTTCTGGCTGAAATTTGTACCGAAAGTATCGGTCTAGCGTTAAAGTTGTGATGCAGCGCTGATGTAATTATTAATAAATGGCAGGGAATTTTTAATCTAGCACATTTAAACACCTCACCTGTTTCGCAGTCTTTCCCCTCAAATCCAATTTTGCAAACGCACACATAACTGTTTTTCTCGTACTGCGGTACGCAAGTGCCATAGTTTTGACAGGGTCCTCTGCTGCAAGGTGTCTAAAATGAAATTAGAAGTAAAAAAATGAGTCAACCGGCAACTCTTGAACTTTGCCTCAGAAACGAGAGAGAACCTGCTCAGTAAACTAATTAGTTGTATATGTTTTCAGACCCGATATGTATACAGGGCTAGTATTTATCAAGCCTATGCCCATCTTAGGTCTTTAGCGGGGAAACAACGGTACACCTGTTTATGCCAGTGCAACCTAGGCACAAACTAGTGTCATACAGAAATCAAGCAGTATCTGTGTGAGGCAAATTTTCCCAAGGAAAGATGACAATCACACCAAAAGAGAGATTTCGCTCCTTGTTAAAGTTTTGGAGGAGCCGAGTCACCTTCCAGCTGGATATCTCAGTAGTCCTCCTTCTTCTTAGTTGAGTAACTCCCCCCTTTCTTGTTTATAAAAACAACGGAATGATGATCATTTTAATAAGGCGAGAATTTTAAAATAGAGACAAGTAGCCATAGAATTAATGATTCTATTAATGTCAAACAATAAAGTTTTCTTTGTCAAAAAATTAAAAGAACGAAAGGAAGATCATATGTTCAAATCTATATATAAGGAGCTGAGTCGCCCTCCAGCTGGATATCTTAGTAGTCTATCTTCTTCTCAGTTAAGTAAGTTCCCCTTCCTTTGTTTATAAAAAAAAAAATGATTCGCTTCCCTTCCCTATCGAATGTAAATACTTCTTAATCATAAAAACAGATCGAGGAAGGATTATTCTTGAAAAAGGTTCATTTAAAACAGAATAATGGTCATTTTAATAACGCGAGAATTTTGAAACAGAGACAAAGGGCCATAGAATTATTGATACCCATTAAGGCCATACAATAAAGTTTTCTCTTTGCCAAAAAATTAAAAGAAAGAAAGAAAGATCATACATTCAAGTCTACTTAAAAATATAATTCCAATTCCTTTGCCATAATATTGATTTGATTTTGTCCAGCTGCGCCAAAGTGTCTGCACGTTTCTAAAGAACAATAATCTCATGCCAGCCATTACTCATGGAGCTACTTAGCTGAGAACTAAAACAATGAATCTTTTTCTCTATTTTTAATATTCTCTCTGCACGAAATGTCTTTTATACATATGTTTTCTGGGAGGTTTACTTTATGTGCAAGTTTTGCGCTCCGTGAATTTGTGCAGTCAAATAAAATTCCATGAACATGACTTTTATTGACTGAACACGCAAAGGACGCGACTGTAGAGGCTCTGAAGCAAAGGCGAGAGGGAATTCCGCTTCGGAAACTCAAACCACCGCGAGGGAAATGTAAAAGTTATCTGTTCATGGATCAGTTGCGCGTCCATGGAGATATGAAGCACTTGAGAGGTTTGGAGAGCACCCAAGAAGCTAGAAATGCTTCAAGGGACATAAGTTTCAATTTATTCGTACAGGATTGATGCGAACCCCTCAGCGTTGATAACCATCTGTCTGAATAAACTTTACCCCAGGGGCATTTCTCCCAGAGCATGTAGAATTTTTTTTAATGTTAAACATCAGATCACTCACCTGAATACTGTAATGATGAAACTTCTGGCTGATGATGACTTCGTCCGAGTTGTTGTACTTATCCGATGGCAGCAACTCACATACGCGTGTTCCTGTTTTGGAGGCACTTGCCTCTAAGTTGTATGAAAAACACATGGGTTCATTTAGGCAGGCAAACGCACACTCGCCGTTGTTTTGAACCTCAGCTGAATTGATCTTGCTGATGTTTAGATAGGAAAACGTTTCTTCCACCATATTCATTAGCCACATTTTGTCTGAGGACTCTCGATAGAGACCTATGTTTGAAAAGGTCCGGACTTTGTTATAACCTATTACAACAAAAAGTATTTTGTCATTTACATAGCTCTGCTGATCGCTATTACATCCCCAAATTAAGCAAAATATGGAACAAAACATAAAATGTAGAAATTAGTTTGCAGTACCTTGCGAAGTATGAAGGCAACGTAAAAAGCAGACCAGTAGAGGCAGGCAATATCGGAGTTTAATGCGAACGCGCTCCATATCTTGAATTGTCAGAACACTTGATTTGACAGTGGTAACCAGGTGCCTCTCTATGAGTTATGATGCCTTGTGAGGCGGTTTTAAAGAGGATTATTTCAACCAGAAGTTTAATTATGTCATTGGACCATAGCATATAATAATCTTTGCGTAATTTGTAAACTGATAATGTTCAGAGGAAGTCCTTGAAGCACCTGTCTCCGTGAGACCAAAGAGTCGATATCATGACTATTGCTCAACGATTTAACAAAACCACCTGCACTAGCAAAAATGATCCCTCGACACTTTTTTAATAAGAGAGTGGCTTAATTGCTAAACAGGTCTAAATAGCATTGAAAAGTACGGGGGAAGCAACTCTTAACAAGAGGTGAAGTAGATGTTACATTCGGGCAACACCTATGCCACATCAGGCTGAATAATTCTAAACCGAAGTAAGCGAATTTGAATATCATAGAGACGGTAATGTTTGGCTCGCCGTTGCTTCAAAATTACATGGCTACGTAGAACTCAATTGTACTGACAGCCATAAATATACTAACTGTTTATCAATTGAAAGACAGAAGTGTCACACAATTTGAACTTTCTGCCTCAATCTCGTTTCATGAAAGTTTCATAAAGGATTAACTTTTCTTTTCGTTTGTTTTGGGTTTTGTTTTGTTTGGTTGTATTTTGTTTTAGGTTTCGTTAATTTTATCAAATTTCGAAAGGGTGAATAAGAACTTCCTTTTTATGCATTTCACAGTCGTGCAAAAGGCGGAAGGCAATCGATGTTGTGAAATATCTAGACACAGCGCAAGTTATCAAAGCCATTAGACCCAACAAGTGTTTTCCTTTCACAGTGGGTCGATCGTTTTTTCATGTGGATAACAAAGCCCAACTGACGCTGACGATCAGAGCCAAAGTCCTCGCTCAGATAACACTAGGTTTTGGTTTGCTCATAATTTTTTATTCTCTCTCCCCTTCTATGTAAATAAGTGCAAACAAACAAGACGTTTTGGGGCGTTTTCGTTGACACCTGAAAGACAATTCGTCGAGAACGAAAATGTTTTGTTGTGATACGCATCCAAAACCATGAGTTTCAAACTGCTGTTTATTCTTCGTTAGCGTTGTTCGAAATCTATAAGTTACACATAGTAAGCGTATCAGAAAAATAATTACAGTAAAATATAAATATAACAAAACAGAATAGTTACCAAATGGTTGTCTTGCTTGAAGTGTATCACAATTAGGAAAGTAATTAAGTTCATTAATTGACTGTGACGTAGTTACAATTTCAACGAAACAGAAAGATAATTTCAGAAGATGCATGCATGTAAGAGTAGTTCTCTACTAAATGTTTTCGTTCCCGCAATGAAGTGTTACGCCGCATTTGCAGTACACATTCATGAATTATGGCGAGGGGTTTTAATTATTAACCATAGGAACTTGTCACCACGCTTTAAAAAGATAAATAATTTAGGTCTTTATCTTATAGAGTTTTTTAAGGAAAGGCGTAGATCACTTTCTCGTTTAAAGATAACGGAAGTTGACTGGAGTCTCATTAGAAATTGTAATATTATGAAGAGATAAATTGAAATCAACGCAGAAAATGAAACATGCACTTCACGGTGGTAATGTTTAGGCCGATAACACAGGATATATATTACTGTCAAATACGTCAGTCGAGAAAATAAAATTCTTAACAAGGGTAAACATATTTCGTCAACTAATAATTCTGAAACAGACATAACCACGCTTCTCTGGCGTATCAAGGGGAAGTCTGTTGTTCCGGCTGAACTTTTACGTATAAAGCGCTTCAAGATAGTAATTTGTCACAAGTATTACCAAAAATCTGCGTAAAAAGTCGTGACAAATCGGAAAATCGGGTTAATGGCCATAAATCCAAGCGATCAAAACGAGGTTCAGAAACTTGAAGGGAAGATTTGAATTCAAACAAATTTAACTTTTGAATTTAGCCGGTTGTAGAGTGAATTAAGGCCCACTTAATTGACCAATTTTTAGCGCACGTACCAAGTGAAAGATGTCATAAGAAGTCATTCCATATTTACAAGCAACCATGTATTATTGTTTGTTATGCAGACCTTAGAGACCTTAAATGCGAGACGCGTCAGGAAGTGATTGGCGATATTAAATATACATGGGAAATTATTGTAATTTTATACGCATGCAATTCTGGCATTTCTCAGGGCCGAAAATCAACAGTTTACATAATGGTAAGAACTATTATTTTGTATATATCGAAAATAAAAACAGTGAGTACAGTATTTTTGGTCTATGATGACTTAATAGAACGACTTAGATATGATGAACATATTATGGTTACGTAATTATGTCTCTATCGTAACCGATGATAGCCTCGGGTAGTTAAAACAGTCCTATGATGGGTTTCCACGCGCTAGTCAACATGCTATGTTGCACATTGGAGACGTTTGCAGTCCACAATGATTAATTTTCAATCTCTTAAAATGTTTGAGTTTGAGCTCTATGATACCAGCTCGTTTCGTTTCATGAAGCACCTTTAATCTTTTGTACTCCGAAAATTAAACTACCACAGTGATGTTGAATCAGTTGCAAATATCAAAGGCTAATGTGGATTTTTAATCTGCTACCTTAAAGAACCTCTTCTAATCTTTCCCATTTTTAAGTAACTCTAGGCTAAGCTTTCAAAGTTTCGATTCGTAACTTATCCGACCCGACCCTTTTAAGCTTTCTATAATGTACCGGAAGAAGATTGTATATTGTATTCGATATAAATAAGATTGTAGATCGAAATTTTCTTGCGTGCAAATTTTTATTGTTATTCCTTCCTTTGTATACAGTATCAAATTCTTAGCTACGAGACAATTAATGTACTTTCTGGTGTTCCAATTGGGTTACTATATTTAGCTCCAGGTACATTGCCTACAAGGGAAGTCCACATGCCTATTACCGGTCACTGAACATTTGAAATTATGAAATCGTCATCATCCACATCTTTCTTACAACGTGATAGACAATTATATTTACAATCATATTCGCATTATTTTTGTTATCATTATTGTTATTATTAATATCATTGATAGTAGTAGTGGCAATATTTGTATTACTACAAGTAGTATTACTATCATCATAATTACTATTGTTATTCTAATTATTATCGTGATCATTAACGTTAGTATTAATATTATCATATTTTCAAGGTATATTTTAATCTAACCCTTCGCTTGTTGGATTTCATTTAGAAGGAGTATCCTAAGCTTTTCAGCGCAGTTAAATGGAAGCCATCAACGTAGATGATCTAGGATAGTAAATAAGTAGCGCTGAAACTATAAGATGATTTTTCTACTTTTACTAAAGTACCCCTATAGGATTTACGGCCAATTGAATCACATGTCAAGGAAATAGTGTTTGATGGCAGGGTTGTTGATGAACAGGTATTTTAACCGAGGTAAAACACCTCCCAGTCATCAGGAGAGAAGTGCGATGCACCAGACAAGATTGTGATTGGATCTTGTGATTCTTTTGGTGCCTCGTAGGTTCTAAAATGGGCGAATGAATAACCGATGCTGTTAGCATTGTCCGAAATGTAAATGTCCCAGGCATGTCCAAATGTTGGACCATACACCAGATGCTTGTAAATTGCATATTGTGGTGCTTTGATAATGCTCTTAAATGGATGCAGTTCTTCTTCGTTCCGTAGAGAAAATATGAACGAATTGGAAGTGTTGCCATAAGAATCAGAAGAATCTAAAGAACAAAAGTGTAGGTAGAGTTTAAGCTATCGCCCTATTTGGGTAAGGAAGTAGTTAAAGGGCCGCTGAGAACTAGAACTCCCTTGAGTGGAAATATCAGAGACTGATTTACTTGCATAGTTTAACCTTTTTCATGCGAAGTTAAAAGAAAGTCTTTTTACCCCAAGTAATATCAGTGTATCCTCCAAACACGTTCTGGCCATATTTTATGATGGTCACGGTGTTTGGTCTATGGTCGCAACTGGTGTGGAAGGTGCTTACAGCCCAGCCGTGGCATAGCAACCACTGTGAACTATTTCCTACAGCAGGCGACAAAAAATGTGACAGATTGCCGAGAAAGTTGGTGTTGCCCGCCAATATTGTAGAATTGATCAATAAGCCTAAGAAAAAAGCATATAGTACATACTATTGGCTTTTGACACTGGTAATTATAACAACGATAATAATGATAATAATAATAATAATAATAATAATAATAATAATAATAAACTCTTGATACATCGGGCCTCGTACAGGAAGCTTTGCTCTTAGATTTTGCCTTGCAAGAGGATTTCAAGAGACGCATATAAGAATCATAATCATACTGATAATAATGACGATAATGATAATATTAATAATAATATCAATAACAACAATAAATAATAAATTGTGAAATATTAATAATAATGTTAATTTACATAGAGAGAAGTCTTGAATGTGCTTTGTTCTATTGTGAAGCAGCTAAGAAGCGGTGGGAGCCCGAAAGAAGTGTAGGTGGAAACACGAGACGTAGTACAAATTGGTAGATGGCGTGAAAGCTTTTGTTCAGCTCCGTGTTTTTTACTCTGATAGCACACGCTCTTTCAATCCATGATAGCGCGCGTTAAATACGAACTTTATTTAACAATTATTTAAAAGTGGACAATCGATATGCACACATAGATACACTCTTGATCATAACTCATTCAACAACAACAGTGAAAATTATCTAAGCTTTATTGCCCCATAGGCATACTGCTGGTCCGTTCCATGCAGACTCCAGGTGTCTGTACAACATGTCCACCGATTATTTCCATTAGGGGCGTTGATTGGCAAAAAGTATTTGTCACAAACCTGATTCACATCGCTTTCCAGAAAATCCCTCTAGACATCGGCACTCGAAGCTAACGACTCCATTGATACAAGTTCCACCGTTAACACATGACTCTTTCTCGCAGTGGTTGATATCTGTAAAAAATTCAAATCAAATCAAATAAAAAAATGGAAAAAATATATCCAAAATGCATAAAGGTTACTGAGAAAATGGGGACGTGTTTAGTCAATTTATGGATTGTGGGGTGATTTTTACATTATTCCTTTATTCTCGTTCGTATCAAGCCTACGCGTCCATTAGACCACCAGAAGGTTGTCACGTAGCATTAGCATCAAGACTTCCCGCGCAATTGAAACCCAAAGGTGTAGATTTCATCCTAGGAATTGGCAGTTTTGGCCTCGTATATTTTCATGATATATTATAACGTATTCGAACTGCTTTTGGCCTGAAATTTTGAACCCAAAGCATCGATCTTACGTTAAAGTAATTTTAATCCAGCACATTTTAATACTTCACCTCTTTCGCAATCTTTTCCCTCAAATCCAATTTTGCAAACGCACACATAACTTTTTTTCTCGTACTGCGGCACACAAATGCCATAGTTTTGACAGGGTCCTCTGCTGCAAGGTGTCTAAAGTGAAATTAGTAGTAGAACAATGAGTCACCAACACACGAACTTTGCTTTAGAAACAATAGTCAGAAAACCTTTTCAGTAAACTAGTTAGTTGTATATGTTCCGTATTTTGTATTATGATGACTGGGTCTGCTAAATGGGTCGAAGTAGCACGTAAGGCCTTTGTACGGGGTATGCAACTCTTAACAAGAGGTAAAGTAGATGTTACATTCGGGCAACACCTATTCCACCATCTGGATAATTCTAAACCGAAGCAAGCGAATTTGAATATCATAGAGACGGTAATGTTTGACTCGCCGTTTGCTTCAAAATTACACGGCTACGTAGAACTCAGTTGTACTGATAGCCATAAATTTACTGACTGTTCATCAATTGAAAGACAGAGGTGTCACACAATTTGAATTTTCCACCTCAATCTCGAGGGATTTTCTTTTCTTTTCGTTATTTTGGGTTTCGTTTTGTTTGGTTATGTTTTGTCCTGGTTTGCGTTAATTTTGTCAATTTCGAAAGGGATAATATAAACTTCTTTTTTATGCATTTCACAGTCGTGCAAAAGGTGGAAGGCGATCGATGTTGTGAAATATCTAAACACAGCGCAAGTTATTCAAAGCTATTGCAGCCAACGGCTGTTTTCCTTTCACAGTGGGTCGATCGTTTTTACATGAGGACAACACTGAGCCCAACTGTCGCTCACGATCAGACCTAAAGTCCTCGCTCAATTAACACTAGCTTTTGGCTTGCTTATAATTTTTTACTTTCTTTCCCCTTGTATGTAAATAAGTGAAAACAAACAAAAAGTTTTGGGGCGGTTTCATGGACACCTAGTTCTCCACTAAATCTTTTCTTTACCACAATAAAGTGTTACGCGGCATTTGAAATACACATTTCATGATAAATGGCGAGGGATTTCAATTATTTACGCTTTAAAAATAGATAAATAATTTTGGTCTTTATTCTATAAAATTATTTAAGGAAAGGCTTTTATAGCTTTTTATCACTTTCTCTTTGTAAAGATACTGGAAGTTGATCGGAGTCATAGTAGAAATTGTAATATTATGGAGGTAAATCGAAAGCCACGTAGAAAATGAAACATGCATTTCGGTGGTAAATTGATGTTTAGGCCGATAACACATTACTGTCAAATACCTCAATCGAGACAGAAAAATTTTTAGCGAGGGCAGGCATATTTCGTCAACTAATAATTCTGAAACAGATGGCTCGCTTCAAATAAACACAATACCATCTCTCGTCTGGAGATATAACCACGCTTCTCTGGCGTATCAAGGGGAAGTCTGTTGTTCTGGCTGAACTTTTACGTCTTTTATGACCGAAAATCAGCGTAAAAACTCGTCACAAATCGGAAAATCGGTTTCAAGGCCATAATCCAAGCGATAAAAACGAGGTTCAAAAACTGAAAGTACGCGCCGAATAAGAGGGGGAATATTTGAATTCAAACAAATTTAACTTTTAAATTCAGCCGGTTGTAGAGTGAATTACGGTCTACTCAATTGACTAATTATCACGCTCGTACTAACTGAAAGATGTATTAAGTCATTCTATATCAACAAGCAGCCATGTATTATTTGTTTGTTATACAAACCTTAGAGGCCTCAGCTGACAAGAAAAGTCGACTTTATTAAGGAATGAGCTTGACATAATGGCGTGAAAGGCGAGACACGCGTCAGGAGCTGATTGGCGATATTAAACACACATGGGAAATTATCGCATTTTAGACGCATGCAGTCCCGGCATCTCTCAGGGCTAGAAATCAGCAGTTTATATAATGGTAATAACTCTTTGTATCCAAAATGAAGACAGCGAGCACAGCATTTCTGGTCTGCCATGACTTTAATATATATCGACTTATACATGATGAACAAATCATGGTTACGTAATCATGACTCTCCTGAAACCAAAGATAGCCTCATGATTTAAATGATCTACTCATAAGGACTGGCGAAAATGATTTGAACAAAGAGGCTAAAAATGTTTATGTTCAGGTTTCCACACGCTAGTCAACATACTATGTTGCACACTGGAGACGTTTGCAATTCATAATGCTTAATTTTCGATTTCGTCAAAATGTTGCATTACATGGTTAGTTTTTTTTTATTACTCTAAATTACCCAAACCTCAAGGGCCCGGCTGCTAAGGGTTATAAAAAGTAAAGGACCAAAGAAGATAAAAATTATATCTCATTTTATTAGGTTGAGAGACATGTTAGAAATGCATTTTGAAGCAAATTTTCGGGTTTTATTCCAGGGATTTGATAAGTGAGCAATCATACCCCAGAAAGCCCAAAGTATTTTGGATTCTTGGATGACGACTAACCTTACTATCTATGAGAGCTTTTAAAAAATGTAGGAGATGGTATCCCGTTCACAAGTGAAATTTTTGCCAACAGACATTGGGATTACGAAGGCCTAAAGCTGGACGAAAAGTCAGATTGTGAGCATGACACCTCTGGTTTTCACTCTCATTTGCAAAACACCAATGAAATTATTGGAAACAATTTCTACCTGGGCACCCCTATCGCGATGAGTTATCAGTGATGTGTATACTTTAAACATTGTTTTCGGCAGACTGAAAATTAGAACATTTGAAAATATTTTCGTAAGCATTTTATACTTGTTTGAGTTTGAGCTTTATGATATCAGTTCTTTTCGTTACATGAAGCCCCTTTATTCTTTTTTACTTCTAACATAAAACTACAACAATGATGTTGAATCGGGTGCGAATATTTAGGGCTAATGTGCTTCCAACTCGGTTGATTTGGGGGGGATGGAGAGTGAAATTTTTTTTTTAATCAGTGAAGGATTTTAAGCTCTCACTAATCTGCTTCATTATTAAAGAAATTCTTTTAATCTTTCCCTTTTTTTAGTAACTTATACCCGACCCTTTTAAGCTTCCTATGGAGTACCGGAGGAAGATTGTATATTGTATTCAATATGAATGAGATTGAAAATCGAAATTTTGTTTCATGCAATTTTCATTGCTACTCCTACCTTTGTATTCAATATAAAAATCTTAGCTCCGATATAACTAATATAATTTCTAGTGTTCTAATTGGATCACCATATACGCAGCATTGCTTACAGGAGAAGTCCACTTGCATATTACTGCTTACTGAACATTTGAAATTATGCCATCGCAAATGTCGACATCGTTGTCACAACATGATCGAAAATTATATTTACGATCATTTTAGCATTATTTTTATTATTATCATTGTTATAATTATTATCATCAATAGTAGTAGTGGTATGATTGTTATTAGTACAAGTAGTATTACTATCATTATAGTTGCTATTGTTATTGCAATTGCTATCATTATCATTACTATTAATATCATCATATTTTCAAAGTATAGTTTAATCTATCACTCCGCTTGTTGGATTTCATTTACAAGGAGCTCGAGTACCTTAAGCTTTTCGGTGCAGTTAAATGGAAGCCATCGTAGATGATCTAGGATAGTAAATAATTAGTGCTGTCAGAAAACTATCATATAATTTTTCTAGTTTTACTGAATGTACCCCTATATGTTTTAAGAGCGAATTTTTTTTATCACCGCGTGGGAGGTGGCACATGATCGGAAAAATCACTATCCTCATATTTTGCTCAGAGATACCTTTGGGTAAGTCTATAAACGTGGTATAATTTTTTTGTTCAGAGCTGTTTTTATTTTCTAGAAAACCTCCAAACACTGTATCGAGCCCCAACCGCCATAAAATGGCCGAAATGAAGTCGACGAGTAGGGCAACAAAACCTTTATTCCTCAAAAGCGCAAAAGAAAGCGAGTCTTTCTGAATTTTACCTACTTGTATACGAGGTATTAAAAAATGATTTGAATCTAATAACGGGATTATTGACATAACTATGAATTATTGGCGAATATTTGAAAATCGCCAAAATTTGATTGATTAAAAATTTCATTTTGGAGCAGTTTTTCAATAAAAATTTTTCCTTCCTGGTATAACTCGGAATCACTTGAGATGAACATTTTTACAAAGTGGAAAGAATGTTCTTTCCATGGATATAAAAATCAATTTGGGGCTCTTAATTACTGCGAAGAAGTAGCCCGATCTATTTCGTGCAAATCGCAATGCCGCCATGTAAACAACCGCAGATAATCCAATTAGGCTTTTTATTATCGAAGCCATAATTCTAACAAAATCTTATCGCTTTGACCTATACCAGATTGTAAACTGGATTTCTGAAGAATTAAAAAAAAATTAAATTGGGAGTAGCTTTCTAAAATACTCAGCGCTAAAAAAATAAATTAGAGTAGGCACAGTTTCTAACCATATAATGAGCGTCGCGTCATAAATTTTCCAAAGCAAACTAAAATGGTGTTTTCGTTTGGCCGCCGATTTTTTTAAGAGGTGAGCGTACCAAATGGAAATCAATTGCTCCTTTCAAAGATTAGTTGGGGGAAGCTGCTCCCAAGATAAGCGAAGTCGAGTTGCAGGAAAAGCTTCTCTTATAGTCCCTCTGC